TAAAAATTCGAGTAATAAAAATAATCAATAATTGCAAATAGATTATCTTCTATATATATAAAAATAAGTCGGGTTTTCCTTCCTGACGAAATAACTCCAGAACGCACGAACCGATTTCGACAATTTTGCATTTGTTGGAAAGGTCTCGGGCTCCGCAAGGTTTATAGCTAAGAAAATTAGTTGTGCATGGCATCTAGCCCTAATGCAAATTGCTGGAACTTCATGCACAGTAATTAAAAATTCGAGTAATAAAAATAATCGATAACTGTTTTAAATAATTTCAAATAGATTATCTTCTATATATATAAAAATAAGTCGGGTTTTCCTTCCTGACGAAATAACTCCAGAACGCACGAACCGATTTCGACAATTTTGCATTTGTTGGAAAGGTCTCGGGCCCCGCAAGGTTTATAGCTAAGAAAATTAGTTGTGCATGGCATCTAGCCCTAATGCAAATTGCTGGAACTTCATGCACAGTAATTAAAAATTCGAGTAATAAAAATAATCGATAACTGTTTTAAATAATTTCAAATAGATTATCTTCTATATATATAAAAATAAGTCGGGTTTTCCTTCCTGACGATATAACTCCAGAACGCACGAACCGATTTCGACAATTTTGCATTCATTGGAAAGGTCTTGGGCTCCGCAAGGTTTATAGCTAAGAAAATTAGTGGTGCATGGCATCGTGCCCTAATGCAAATTGCTGGAACTTCACGCACCGTAATAAAAAATTCGAGTATTAAAAATAATCAATAATTGTTTTAAATAATTGCAAATAGATTATCTTCTATATATATAAAAATAAGCCGGGTTTTCTTTCCTGATCAAATTTTTCCTTTTCAAATATAAAACAAACAAAAAATTTCTTCATCTTTCTCACGAAACCATCTGGTGGCGAAACGGAGTTTGTCGGGTTTGCTAGTATATATATATACATGTATATATATATATATATATATATATATATATATATATCACTTGGGCACATACGATTTTCGGATTCTAGGGATCAAAATAAGATACTTCTAAAATAATTTCCGATATCCTGTGCACTGACCCAAGATTACCGCTTGCCATTCAGAGTGCCCCAATCGCGTCCAAATGTATTATATACCCCCAATAATTTTGTAAAGCCGATCCGACTATGCCCATGGTTCACCCCCTGGGACCTACCCTGGACGTCTCGCATACAAAAATCGCAAAAAATTATAGTTTTTGGTATTTTATTCAGCAAAAAAAATTTTTTAAAACCATTTTTTAGGATATTAATTCATACACACACAAAAAGCTTTTTCACAAAATGTTTTTCCAATTTTTTTTGTCTCTGTGTTTCTATGCGAGAACCGTGCGAAATTTTTCAGACTTGAAATCAAAAAAGACTTCAAGCAATAATTTAAAGTTTTACATAGCTTTATTTACATATATTATGATTAAATGAAGTTTATAATAACCATAAATTGCTGATTTTTGTCATGTAAAATAACAAAAATGACGAAATTTTTGTATGGTGGACCTCTCAGGGGTGGTCCCAGGGGGTGAACCAAAAGCATGGCCTTCTAAAGTTAGTAGGGGTCGGTCATACATTTGGACGCGATTGGGGCACTCTAAATCGGTCAAAAAGTAGTTTTTGGCCCCGATGTTTGGATCAATGCACAGAACATCAAAATTCATTTGGGGGGCGTCCATTAATCACGTGAGGTTTTTAGGGGGAGGGGGGGTCTGGCAAAAAATTACGAAATATCACGTGGGGGAGGGAGGGGTATAGTAAGATATCACGTGTATTTATTTTTTAACTGACTTTTTAAGAAAAATCAAACATTTTCAAAATTTTTTTTAAAAAATTACAGTTTTATCACGTAATTGAAAATACACGTGATGTTTGGCGGGGGAGGGGGGTGATTTTGAATATCACCATGGATTACCAAGGGGGAGGGGGGGTTCAAAAATACTTAAAAACTCGCTCACGTGATTAATGGACGCCCTTTTGAGAGGTATGGCTTTCTTCAGCAAAGTATCTTAATTTAATCCCTTCTATCCAAAAATCATATGTGCCTAAACGACTTTTTGGCCCATACAAATCGGACTGTTGTAATATACATATATATACATATATATATATATATATATATATATATATATATATATATATATAAATCGGACTGTTGTAATATACATATATATACATATATATATATATATATATATATATATATATATATATATATATATATATATATATATATATATATATATTAACAAAGTCTAATAATCGGGCATAACATCAATAAAAAACATGAATTTCTTTCAAAAATTTATTTTAAATCCATACGTTTCGGCTATAATCCTAGCCTTCATTCAGTGGAAACTAAAATTAAAATTAAAAACTAAAACAATTGAATTGGAGTGAAAAGAAAAAATAAATTAGTAATTAGTACTTACAATTAGTTGATCTTAGTGTTAATTTGGGAAAATTTAGTAATCCATGGTATTAGGATATGATAATGCACTACACTATGTATTATTAACATTAACTTGAAATTACACAATATTTTCACAAAATACTGATTTGAAAAAATCACAAATGGATAGTGTGTTATTTGTAGACTGGTTGAAGATGTAATGGAGAAAGACATTTTTTTAAAAAATATTTTTACCAAGATTCTGCACATGTGTGGAACGAATTGTAAAACCTTTGCGCGAACGCTTTTATTGTTTTGTAAGAAATTTGGAAATGTTATCTAAATAGAAGAGATTTGTGTCGCACAGCGTGTTGAGTTCATTCCGTTTATTTATTGTCTTGTTGTTATAAATAGTTAAAAAAGATCCCTCTATAATTCTTCGTTTAAATAAATTTTGTTCAAATTGTAGTACAGTCGGACAAAATAAATAAATTTGAACAAAATTTATTTAAACGAAGAATTATAGAGGGATCTTTTTTAACTATTTATAACAATAAGACAATAAATGAACGGAATGAACTCAACACGCTGTGCGACACAAATCTCTTCTATTTAGATAACATTTCCAAATTTCTTACAAAACAATAAAAGCGTTCGCGCAAAGGTTTTACAATTCGTTCCACACATGTGCAGAATCTTGGTAAAAATATTTTTTAAAAAAATGTCTTTCTCCATTACATCTTCAACCAGTCTACGAATAACACACTATCCATTTGTGATTTTTTCAAATCAGTATTTTGTGAAGATATTGTGTAATTTCAAGTTAATGTTTATAATACATAGTGTAGTGCATTACCATATCCTAATACCATGGATTATTAAAATTTTCGAATTTAACACTAAGATCAACTAATTGTAAGTACTAATTACTATTTTATTTTTTCTTTTCACTCCAATTCAATTGTTTTAGTTTTTAATTTTAATTTTAGTTTCCACTGAATGAAGGCTAGGATTATAGCCGAAACGTATGGATTTAAAATAATTTTTTGAAAGAAATTCATGTTTTTTATTGATGTTATGCTCGATTATTAGACTTTGTTAATACATATGTCAACATCAAATTCAGAATCATACAAAATATATATATATATATATATATATATATATATATATATTTAATATATATTCCTATTAGACTTGCACCGAATATTCGGTTACTATTCGGTATTTGGCATATATATATATATATATATGTATATATATATATATATATATATATATATTGAATGGTAGAGTCTTGGATTTGTGTATATTTTGTAGAGTTTCGAACAAGAATCCAAAAATAATACAAAATAAAAAACAAGAAAAGTTTTTAAAAAAACAATTTCTTTAGTTAATTATTTGTTTATTGTCGACGTTTCGGAACTAGGTACGTTCCATCTTCAGGACATCTGTCAAGAAACATGATCTTGATGAGATTTTAGCAAACAATATGTTTAGGAAAAGAAAATAGATTTTTTTTAAATAATGAATTAATTGTAAAAAAATATAATAATGTACAGAAATATAAACAAAAAAATTTCAAAAGTACCTTAGTACAACACTCTATAGAAAACGCCCATTCATTTAATTTCACTCCAAAGATTTTATATCATGAAAGTTGCATCTTTAGAAGGTTATTCACGGAGAGTTGTCTCATTCTCATAAATGTTTCTAACAGTGTCAACATTAGATCAGATCACAACCTATTACATGATTCATATTTAAATTTTTTACACTTTTTGACAAACAATTAATATCGACTTCCTTTTAAGATCAACAATTTAAGTATTCACACCCTAACATATAAAAACACACACATACAATCTCACATCTCTCGTTTCAAGTGTTTACACGTGTTACAAAGGACACACCAGTTTCAATTAGTTAATTTTCAAAAGCCAATCGAACAACATCCAGAGAACAATATTATTTGTGTTTTCAAATAATAATTTTAAAAAAGACAAATCTTTTAGTAATTTTGATTTACAAAATCTAATTATTCGGCGGAAAATTAACTCACAAATTCATTTTGGTTAAAAAAGCTTGTTTAGTGAAAAAATGCAAACAAATATACAAACATACAGGTAATTAATTCAACTTTGTCATTAACCTTTTCTTAAAAAAAAAAAAAAAAAATTTCCATAACTTTCAAAAAATTTTCTATTATGTTTAATATCCTGTTCTGATAATCCACTCATTTATTTTTATCATTTTTATCATTTTCATTTTGAACATATTATCATATTTCTGTACATTATTATATTTTTTTTTTACAATTAATTCATTATTTAAGAAAAATCTATTTTCTTTTCCTAAACATATTGTTTCCTAAAATCTCATCAAGATCATGTTTCTTGACAGATGTCCTGAAGATGGAACGTACCTAGTTCCGAAACGTCGACAATAAACAAATAATTAAATAAAGAAATTGTTTTTTTAAAAACTTTTCTTGTTTTTTATTTTGTATTATTTTTGGATTCTTGTTCGAAACTCTACAAAATATATATATATATATATATATATATATATATATATATATATGTAAAAATAACATACCGTTCTGTGTATTATCACCAGGATCACATTGTGATTCAATATGCTCTTCTTCAATACATGGCAAAGGATCATCTTCTGCTTCTGAGTCAGACAGCTGCAATGGGCTATCATGTAAGTTATACTGAAAATTTAATATTTTTTAGATATAAACAATATTAAAATTAGTATATAGTATATATTGATAAGAAAATATCTAATTCATTTCTTACTTTTCCTATAGTTGAAACTTGCAATAACTTTGGACTGGCGGCCTTGCGGTCGTTTATTATACTTGATTTGTCAATCTCGGTATTGCTTCCACATTCCAAAGTATAATCTAAACTGCTACCAGAAGGTAATACAATTTCTTCTGACAATGACATTGTGGGAACAGAATTTTATATCATCGAAATTTGCTCTTTAGTAGAGAAATAACTATGTGCATGTCCTAAAATATTATGCATAATTATTATTTTACTACATGTTATAATATTCTGAATTTGATGTTCACATATGTATTGGCAGAGTCTAAAAACCAGGCATTACATCAATAAAAATCATGTTTTTATCCTAAATAAAAAAAAATCCATACATATACGCTATAGTTTTTGTCTTCATTCAGTTGAACTAAAATAATTTAAAAGTCTAAAATATGCAATAATATATTTGAAAATTAAAATTAAAAAGTACTTACAATTTGCCCATCCTAAGATGAAAAATACAAAAAATAATAATCCATATTGTGAGGATATGGTAATGCAGTACATATTAAAACCGTTATTTATATAGTTGTTTTTCACAATTTTATCAACTAAACAACCTTTCACGAAAGAGTTAGTATGTAATGTACGTGATCTGTAGACGAACTGGAAAATATAATAAAAAAACGGATTAAAAACAAGGTTCTAACATGAAACTTATTGTTAATGTTTTTGTTCAGTAAGCATAGTTAAAGTATTAGATTGTTAAAGGTATCTTATTAAAATTTGGCTTCATATATAAAAATGTATGAAATTATGAAAAAATTTTTATAAAAACACTTTTTCGATAAAATCGTTTTTAGTGTGTTAGTGTATAATCAATCATATGGGTAATTAATTCTGTTTTTAGTAACCTTTTAATTAAAACTTTCTAATTTTTTAACATTTTTAATATTTTGTTATATAATTCACTCATTTATTCTTATCATTTTCATTTTGATTATATTGTCATATTTCAGTACATTATTTTCTCCACAATTTTATTCATTTTATATAAAACATCCACCATCTTCTGCTTTTTTTCAACATATTGTTTGCTTAAATCTTATCAAGATCATGTTTCTTGACAAATGTCCTGAAGCTGGAACGTACCAAGTTCCGAAACGTCGACAGTAAAACTGAAGTTGAACTTCCATAGAAAATATATTTACCGTTCTACAAAGTTAAATTTCAGAAAAAAAGAAAGCTGAAAGTCCAATGTAAATGAAACATAAATAACAAATGTTAAACGTCGACAATAAACAAATAATTAAATAAAGAAATTGTTTTTTTAAAAACTTTTCTTGTTTTTTATTTTGTATTATTTTTGGATTCTTGTTCGAAACTCTACAAAATATATATATATATATATATATATATATATATATATATATATATATTGAATGGTAGAGTCTTGGATTTGTGTATATTTTGTAGAGTTTCGAACAAGAATCCAAAAATAATACAAAATAAAAAAACAAGAAAAGTTTTTAATGAACAATTTCTTTATTTAATTATTTGTTTACTGTCAACGTTTCGGAACTAGGTACGTTCCATCTTCAGGACATCTGTCAAGAAACATGATCTTGATAAGATTTAAGCAAACAATATGTTTAGGAATAGAAAATAGGTTTTTCTTAAATAATAAATTAATTGTAACAAATAATATACAGAAATATGATAATATGATCAAAATGAAAATGATAAAAATAAATGAGTGGATTATCAGAACAGGATATTAAAAATGATAGAAATTTTTTGAAAGTTATGGAAAAAAATTTTTTAAGCAAGGATTAATGATAAAATTGAATTAATTACCTGTATGTTTGAATATACGTTAGCACTTTTTCACTAAACAAGAATTTTTGACCAAAAAATGAATTTGTGAGTTATTTTTCCGCCGAATAGTTATTTCCATTGCCAAGACAACTTTTATTCTCAAATTAAAGGCGCAGCTATGGGATGTCCCTTATCTCCCGGAATTATCGACTTAGTTTTACAAACACTAGAAATTTCCGTTTTCTCAACTTTAAAATTTCAAATTAACTTTTATATTAGATATGTAGATGACACTTTTTTTATCATTAACAAAAATCATATAAACACAGTACTAGATCTTTTCAATAACTTTAACAATAATATAACTTTCACACATGAACTACAAAATAATAACAGGCTTAATTTCTTGGATGTATCCGTTTACAACACTAATAATTTTATTCGAACAAATTGGTATAGAAAAACTACATGGTCTAAAATTAAATGTTCAATTTTTGTTTTATAAAATAATTTTCTTGCAAAAAAAAAATACACAGCCTTGTTCTTGTACAAAATGGCGGCTGGGCAAAAATTTACGGTTTTTGTCAAATTTTACGGACATTATGCAAAAAAAACGTACAAAACATTTCTTTACTTACACAATTTAAATATTTAAACAAATATACATAAGTAACTCATACAAAAATAAATGCGTTTTTTAAAAACGTGAAATACATAACCCTGTTCTCTTGCATGTGCGGCATACACAAAGACAAAAACTTATCGTAAATATCAAAATTATTCGGACGTTACACACAAAGTTGTATTTCATTATTAATAAACAATACTTGTTAGTCTCCATTATATATTCATTAAACAATATTAGAAATAAATTCTTTTACTACTTACCGATTAACGACACCGCCATACACGAGACCGATAGCAAAACTTTTCGCGTCCAAAAACACTATAAATATTCCCGTGGCATCGACATTAATATTTATATTCTCCAACAGTTGATAAACACTTTGATATATATTTTAAATATTGTTGCAATGTATTTACTAAATTATTTAAAATATTATAACACAACGTAAGGAGCACGTCCATCAGTCAGAACTACACTTTGCAAAAGAACGAAACGAAAGGTGCGTCCACACCTAGCGAACGAACACGAACAAACATAAACGAACGTGCCAGAACGAACGGCAACAGCATAGTGTGGACGCCACGACGATCACGAACGAACATAAACAAACATGGCGAGCAATGTTCCGCATCTTGTCGGTACATCAAAGGGAATTGTTCGTTCGTGTTGGTACTCGTATTTGCAGTGTGGACGTCTCAACGAACGCAAACGAACATTTTTGTTTTAATAATTTTAATAATTTAATAATAATTTTTTTCCTATAATATGGGAGACTAAAGACCCTTTTTATAAAATTATTAGAAAAAAAAACGATGCTTGGGAAAGTGTAGGCAAAACGTTTGGGATGTCAGAAGCTGCAGTAAAGAAGAAATTGCAGTCTTTACAAGTAAATATTAAACTTGTTATCATACATAGACATTCAACATATATGTTGAGGATGAGAGTTTGAAAATTGAGTATAGTTAGCTCAAGCCGGGAATGTTCAGCTTGCTCCGAATATGAATGAGAAAGAAAGAAAACGACTCAAAATATAAATATTAAATACAAAAACTGAGTGAAATTAATTGAATAATATATTTACAGTATATTTACAAAATATACACGAACAAAAATCAGACAAAAACCAGTGAAAATGCCGTATGATTAAAGCTTACTTCCATATCAATAATAAAACTTACTTTTCACGGAACATCTACGAACAACGAAAATTCAACCGCTCACTGCTCTTAAGCGCTTGTTCGAGTTCGTTTGGAATTTTTCGCGTTCGTTCGTGCTCCTGTTCGTTCTTCTTTGTATTTTCTTGTTTGACATGTTCGTTCGTGTTCGTTCGTTAGGTGTGGACGCACCTGAACATGCACGAACACGAGAACGACGAGCGACGAACAGATAAATCATTTCGATAAATAAATTGAGTAAAAGAATTATAAATAAATTTAATGATAATAGATACATATTTTGTTTATATAATATTGATATTTATTGATAATAGATAGTTTTTATGCGTTTTAAAGTGTAAATTAAATCTTTAAGTTTGTAGTTTTGAATTTGCCGCCATTACGCAAGTATTGTGTACACTCAACGTCAAAAAATATTACGATTTTGTGCTTAGTTTAATTATCGTAATTTAAAAATTATTTCTACTTATTTGGTCTTTGATAGATTAAATAGACTAGTTGGTTTGGTATTTAGCCTTGAGGCAAATTACATGAACTTCCCGATATGTGTAAATAATCGACTTGATCAAAAAAATGTGTAAATAATATACTTCATCAATCCTACTTTAAAAAAAACGATAATAATTTTAGCAAAGTTTGACGAATTTTTAAAATTAAACTACTTGTTGTAAGGCCGTAATATTACAGTAAGTTCTATAACACCATGATGTATATCGCCAAAAAAAGTTCCATGAAAAACGGCTTAAATTTTTTTTTTCAAGAGTTAATTACAAGAAAACGGCTCGGTAGATTTTCACCTAAAATTAATCAGCATCATTCCCAAATGATATCTTTCGAACAGTTTTTGATTTTTCAAAATCGGTTCGGTAGGATGAGCTTAAATGTGGACGAAAATTTAACACTTTTTTTCAACATTTAATTACAAGAAAACGGCTCGGTAGATTTTCACCTAAAATTAATCAGTACCATTCCCAACTAATATTTTTCGAACAGTTTTTGATTTTTTAAAATCGGTTCGGTAGGATGAGCTTAAATGTGGACGAAAATTTAACACTTTTTTTCAACAGTTAATTACAAGAAAACGGCTCGGTAGATTTTCATCTAAAATTAATCAGTATCAGTTACCGTTTTCGGCACTTTTTGCCCCGTATCTTCGGAACGGCTAGACCTGCCTTCGCCAAAAACTAATCAGCACGTCTCCTTATCAATACGAATCGAATGTTTTTTGAATTATTCAAATCGGTTGATCCGTGTTCCCGAAATCGTCGACGAAAATTTGTATCCTCACATACATACACACACGCACATACATACATACATACATACATACACACACACACACACATACATCCATTTTTTCTAAGGTATGCCAAAATGTTCAGAAACCTTTGAAACGTAAAGATATATAAAAATTTTCATTTTCGATTTTTTTGCGATTACTATAACTTGCCCTACGGGAAGTTAAAAACATTTCACTTGTATTGACAAGATGAAGAATCGATAAAATTTTCATGAAGGTAGGTCTAGCGGTTTCGGAGATCTAATGAAAAAAGTAAAAAAAAATGCCATTCGGCGGTTAAAAATGATCATTAGACATATGCACATCAAATTGTCAGATATTTTATAGAGATTTTAACAATAAGTATGAATTTCTTTTACATTTCTGTGGGTTCCGTACCAATGCTTATGCGTTAGACGGCGGCGCGGCACCTGCAAGCTTTGACATTTCGTCTCTATGCAGTTCAAGCAGTGCGATTGCTTTGAAATAAAGTTCAGAATTTTCAAAATATGTCAAAATGAAGAAAACATTTTTTTTCAAAAAAATTTTTTTCTTTTCAAAAAAAAATTTTTTTTCTCAAAAAAAAATTTTTTTTTTCAAATAAAAAAATTTTTTTTTTAAAAAAAGTATTTTTTGTCAAATTTATAGTTTCTCAAAAATCTATTTTTTTCGAAGTAAAATTTTTTCAAACATGTTAATCGTTTTTGAAAAAATAATAATTTTTGGCACGGGAAGTTCCAGCAATTTGCCTTAAGGCACGATGCCCTACTTGCCTTAAGACAGAATTCCACTTACAGCTAGTTACTCCTTAAATAAAAGCAATAAATATTTTTTTTTCCTTTTAAATGATGATCATTTCCTGATATGGAAATGACCAATCAAAGAGAAAGGGTACTTGTAGTATCAACTTCCCCCTTCCAAAGCTCTTAAGTTGTGAGGCGTGTCTTATAACTTCTTTGTTGTTTTTGTATCTTATCCGGTATCTGTCTTTCTCCATGACTTCTACTACAGTTCCTTCATCAGAATATTTCGGCTCCATCTTGCTGCTCTTCAGCTCATTTTTTACTAATACTTTTTCGCTCACGCTCAAGTTCTCCTGCTTTCTTGAATACTTTTTAAATTCTTTCGCATATCTTTCCGAGTTTTTCTTAACTAAATCGTAATTCTCCGGCTTCATCGCTTGATTTGGGCTTAATCCTATTGCCCTATGTTTAATGCTGTTGTAGTTGTTTATAACATCCTTCAGCTTTATTTTTATCATTTCACTACATAGTTCTCTTTAGTGCTTCTCTGATAGTTCTATTGATTCTTTCTACCCTGCCATTGCTAGGATGATAATAAGGAATACTAAACTTGTGCTCTATGTTGTTTTCCTTTAATTACATTTCTAAATCGTTAGACATGAATTCTTTACCGTTGTCGGTCTGCAATATTTTAAATTTCAAATCCTTATATACCTCTTTTATAAAGTTTAGTATTTTATAAAGTATAATCACTATGATTCTTTCATTTTTGGAAATCTCAAGCATATCTGCAGCCACCCTCTCTCCGGGAAACGAAGTTTGTATAAAATATCCACTTTTTTTAGATTTTTTGTCATTTTTCTTGCACACTAAACGGTTCTTCAAAATTTTACCTGAAGTGTATTTCTTGATGTTGATATTATACTTCTTTAATTAATAATATATCGAATTTTTTTCCGATGAACATATATCAGTTGTGTTGAACAATTAATTTAAATTCGACATTACACGTGTATTCCATTAGTTTTATTGTTATAAACGTTTTATTGTTAATTTCATATGTATAAATAATAGAATTATTAATACAATCGATAACAATTAATAACAAGATAAAAAAAGAAAAGGACTGTACTGACGAGCAAACTAGAACAAGACAAAAAGTCTTACAAAAAGGGCGTTCCTGAAAAGGACAAGAAGTTCTATGATTTTTAGAAATTCACTAAAGGTTGGAATAAAGTATTAGGCGTTCTTGAGACGTACACAATATGTAATAATTTAAATAATTGCAGGTATAAGTTTGTTTAAAGATACCAATTTGGCCATCACAGTTTGAGGATTCTTTGCGTGTGAACAATTCTAACATGGCGGCAATGTGGCCAACATTGACATGACGATTATTTTGACGTACAAAATAAACTTTCTATTATTTACATTACATTAAAATAGACATTATACATAAATGGAGTAATTTATAAAAATAAAAGTAATTTATAAAAATATTCCTGTTGAGATGATAAGATTGAAGATGATTATCAAAACCATATCAAAACATTTCTTTCTAAAATGTTACGACGGGAAAAATTCCTAACCTTATGCTGCAAGTATCACCTTAAATTAGTTAAATTTAATATCATTGATTAAAATACATGATTAATTAGTACACAACTGTTTTCTCTGTTATAATCAGGTAAAATATCTAATAATGTCAGAAGAAAAAACTACCTCGATTAAAATTGAACCACTAGAATATTCAGCAGAAGATCCTCAAAATGAAGAGGATATTAAGTCTGAATCTTGTTCAGAGAATGGAGAAACATGTCTGGAAAGATTTATGAATTCTAAAATAACTGTAGAGGAAGAAATCAAACAGGAATTAATGCAGGCTCCTATAAACCCTTTCGTATGCACAATATGTGATAATGCATTTGCTTTAAGACACCATTTAGATCGACATATTATTGCTCATAACAGAGAACTGCCAATTCATGCCGGAGAACTTCTTTTGAAGTGCAAAATATGCAACAGAGACTTCCATTCATCAAAAGGTTTGAAACGACATATGTACACTCATACAACATATTGCTCATAACAGAGAACAGCCAATTCATTCTGGAGAACTTGCTTGCAAATGCAATATATGTAACAGAAACTTTCGCTCACCAAAAGGTTTGAAACGACATATGTTCACTCATACTGGAAAACAGCAACATATCTGCAAAATATGTGATAAAACATTCACACGATTGATTCGATTAGAGAAACACATGCTTATTCATTCTGAAGATCTTCCTTATAACTGTGGAATATGTAACAAACTATTTCGTTCCGTATATAGTTTAAAAAAACATATGACTAATCATTCTGGAAATTTTCTTCAGAAATGTGGAATATGCAATAAATCATTAGCACAATCTGATGCTTTAAATGCACACAAGTTTATCAATTCTAGAGAATTTCCTTATCAATGTGAAACATGTAGCAAATCTCTTCATGCATCAAAAACTTTAAATAACCATAAAGCTCAAAAATATAAAGTATATGAGAAGAGACACTTGGGTGCTCATGTGAAAGCCAGTGAAATATTTATAAACGGTTATTTCTGTAAACCTGCTCTAATTATTGTGATTATTCTAGTATTGTTTAAATTGATGTACACATTTATATATTGATCATAAGCTTTTAGGACATACAAGCACTTGGTTGTGCATTATAATTAATTTAATTACAGATTTTTTAGTGATATCAGTTCATGCAACTTGCCTCAAGGCAAAATGCTACTTACATCTAGTAGTTTTAGTTAAATTATATATCGATTTTATTAGCAATAATATGTTATTTAATGTGTCTTACTGTGATTGTCAATTTTAAATTTGCCTCATTTACAAATTTTCGTTATATTGTTCTTGTGTTGGCAGCATGTATACATTACGATTTTCATTGTTATGACATGACAGAATTGGCATCACTGGAAGGCTTTTGATATCAACATTCAACAAGACGTTTGTAACCTAGAAGCAAACTTTGCAATAATAATGTTTAATAAATTTATTTTTTAATATTAAATTTGTATATTTAAGTTTTAATTTAGTCAAAAATGAAGAAAGAACGTTCAGTGGATAATTCCAGACCGTTTAAATTATAAGTAGTCTACCAAGTTTTCATTTGCAGGTGTTTAGATATATAAATTCATTAAAAATATTTATTTTACAGCTCATCAAATATTAAGTTTGACTGGTATTAGCTTCGAGAGGAAGAGCATAATTGTAAATATTAAATACAAATAATTTTCACTTTATTTTATCAAACTACAAAAATTTGTGTACTCATTTTTATAATAGGGCTTCGTGGAATTGACAATAGTACCTTTGAAAGACAATTTGAGAAGCATTAAACTAAATGCTAAGCAATGTAGAATTTATAGAGTCACATTAGGCGATTGTGAGGCTACTTTTCAATATTTTGATCCCTTTTTGGATATCTGCAAAAATGATTCAAAGACGTAAGTTGTTCTATGTTTTTACCCATAATTATCAATTTCTACTAGTAGGATTGTTGATAAATATCCTTTCTATTACCAGGAGGTCTTTTTGAGGTATTTTCCAAGTGTCACTTAGCGGCTGCTCAAAATATAGATCCTGATTGTAATGCAGGAGAATTATTTATCAATGTGCCCCATGAAGCAAGCCATCTCATTGGTGAAGGTAGAGGTTTAAGAGTTGGAATAGAATTTTCTTTAGAGCAACCTCAAGGTGGCTTGCATTTTGTTGTGCCTGAAACTGAAGGCACCATGGAAGAGGTTTGTGAAAGAAAATCACAATATAACTGGCAGTATTTTTATGATTGTTTTTTTTGGAGGGCAGCTCATATGTACACCTATGCACATGAAAACTCATCAAGACTCTGGTTTCCTTGCGTGGATTCTTATGCAGAGCCTTGTACTTGGAGTCTTGAGTTTACTGTTGACGCAGCAATGACAGCTGTCTCTTGTGGTGATCTTGTAGAAATTACTATGACGCCTGATATGAGGAGGAAGACTTACCATTATGTTTTAAATACTCCTGCTTGTGCTCCTAATATTGCTTTAGCTGTTGGGTATGGACTAGATATATCAATATTGTATTATTTATCAATAACTTTGTGCTTTTTTTTTCATTCTAGACCTTTTGAAACTTATGTGGACCCCCATATGCACGAAGTGACCCACTTTTGTCTACCACAACTAATGCCATTATTGAAGAACTCTGTTCGATATATGCATGAAGCTTTTGAGTTTTATGAGGAAACTTTAGCTACAAGATATCCATATCCTTGTTATAAGCAAGTTTTTGTTGATGAGGTGAATAAAGTTTCTTTAGAATTTAATTTAATTTATAGATTGTAAAATAAATCCCCTTTTATTCTTTTTAGACTGTTCAAGATGTAGCTGCCTACACTACCATGAGCATTCTGAGTACTCATTTGCTTCATTCCATAGCTATAATTGTACAAACTTATATAACCAGGAAAGCAATGTCTCAAGCAATAGCTGAACAATTCTTTGGCTGCTTCATTACTATGCAGAGCTGGTCTGACACCTGGCTCAATAAAGGAATTGCTGAATATCTATGTGGGTTGTACTCGAAGAAATGTTTTGGAAATAATGATTACAGAGAGTGGGTTAGACAGGAATTGTTGGATGTAAGTAACAGATTATATTGTCATATTACTTTGATGTATTATTTTACATTGTTCTGGCTTTTAGGTTGTGGCTTATGAAGAACAGTATGGTGATATAGTTTTGGATCCCAGCCAAGCGCCTGCACCTCTTCCTGTTGCCGCTGCCTCTGGCACATCTCCTGTAACAGGTGCTGGAGGGCCCCAAGGACGAGGAGGCAATCACCATGCTACAGTGGCTCAAAATAATGGACAGAATGTACACCATTTCCCTACCAGAAGTCTGCATACTATGTCACCAAAGTATATACAGGTATATGATCACACGCATTTTATTAATGTTGGATGCATTTTATTAATGCATTTTTTAGGCAATGAGAAAAAAGGCTCATTTAGTCATTAGAATGTTGGAACATCGGATTGGTCAAGAATTACTGCTGCAAGTGTTTAACAAACAATTAGCTTTGGCTACGAATGCTTCTACACAGAAAATTGGTAAAATACATTTAATTAACTTATTACATATTATGATTTTTGTTTATATTCTTATATTTAAGGCAGTGGATTATGGCATCATATGCTAATTTCTACAAATGTCTTCACAAAAGCTATATTTACTGTTACCGGCAAAGATATGGCTGTTTTTGTTGATCAGTGGGTGAGGACTGGTGGACATGCCAGATTTTCGCTGACATCAGTTTTTAATAGGAAAAGGTGATAATCAGAAATCTTGCCATCTGTTTTCTGCATTAATTAAAAAGTAAATGAATTTTCTCAATTTAATTCCTTTTTAGAAATACTGTAGAGTTGGAAATTGGACAGGATGCAGTTAGTCAAAGAGGTATTAGAAAATATGTTGGTCCATTGCTAGTTACTTTGCAAGAACTTGATGGAACTTTTAAACATACTTTACAAATTGAAAATACAGTTGTTAAAGCTGACATCACTTGTCATTCCAAGAGTCATAGAAATAAAAAGAAAAAGATTCCTTTGTGTACAGGAGAAGAAGTTGATATGAATTTGAGCGCTATGGAGTAAGTAAAGTAAAGTTATATTTTCTGCTTTTATATCCATATTGATATATTTTTTCTTTCACAGTGATTCTCCAGTTCTCTGGATTCGCCTGGATCCTGAGATGACTCTTCTTACTTAGATCAACTCAAATCGACCAGCCAGATTACCAATGGCAGTACCAGTTGAGACATAAGCGTGATGTCATTGCTCAGATGGAAGCGATTGATGCATTGGAATGCTACCCAACTCCTGCCTCGCGAATGGCTTTGATTGTCACTATTGAGAATGAGCAAGCATTTTATAAAGTTCGATGCAAAGCAAAGTTGGGTTTTGGGGCACTCGTATAAGTAACACTGTCAATTTTTATTTCCACGAGTCTCAGAAATGCTCATGGCATTTGTCCTCATGGAGTAATAAGATTTTTAATAGAACTATTCAAATACAATAACTCAAAATCATTACTCAGATTGTTACTATAGAGCTGCATTGGTTGATGCTTTGGGAAACACAGTTACACCAGTTGTTTCTATGGTGCACCAGGTTAGTATAATTGATATATATATATATATATATATATATATATATATATAAATTAATATTTATTTATTTATCATAATATACGTTTTTATATTTCATTCTGCTAAATTTCAATCATTTATATTATATCAATGTTTATTTTTATTTCTAGGGTGCTCCCATAACTGCAGAATCACTATCTGCAGACACAAAACTGGTTTTGGAAGAAATCACAAGAATGCTAAATTTAGAAAAGGTTCTGCCTTGTTATAAAAACACAGTATCCGTGTCTTGCTTGAAAGTTATCAGAAAATTACAAAAATGTGGGATTTGCCAAGCAGGCCTACATTAAGGCATATGCAGAATATGGACAGTATATAGGTAGTTTCAAATTGCCAATGATTGATTTATTATAGAACACATTTTTACATTTTGTCTTTCCTTAGATGTTCGATTGGCAGCTCTAGAATTCCTGGTGGATTTTGTTCGAGTTGATGGCAGGCGAGATGACTTGAACAAACTTTCAGATGTAGTAGAGACAAATAGAGACCCCAGGGGTCAGACATGCTCTCGTTAGAATGCTAATTGATAAACCGCCTTTTGAGAAAGGACACAGGCATAGGTGGGATACGAAGGATTTGGAATAATATCAAGTAAGATTAGATTTGTATATAATACATAACTCTGCAATGGTTAATGTTTATTTATATTTTCAGTGGCATGTTGTCTCATGATACAAGACTACGTTGTGATCTGGTAGATTTATATTTTGCATTGTATGGATCTAGAAGACCTCAATGTCTTCAAAGCAATGAAATGTCTAACTTGGTTAAACCTCAACGAGTATCAAATTCTAGGCCTAGAAGTCCACATTTTGGAGGAGAGGTAAAATAAAATAAGCATTATCTCTTAAAGCAAATTGCTGGAACTTCATATATAGTAATTTAAAAGTTTTAAAAGCTTTAAAGTTTTAAAAGCTTTATGAAAACTAGACTTTCCAACTTTAGAATATTTTGATTTTTTTATTATTTATTTTTAAAATATAAAAAACTTAGAAAACTGCATTGTCTACAACATCCCCTTACACATTTATACTGTTCAACACACAGAAATCTAAATATACTTACTTAATATAAAATTTTGTACCTGCCACATTTTACTTCAGTACTTCTAATATTATTCTTAGTATTCAAAACCAAATATCTCTTAAACCGGTTAGTTTAACAAAAATTTGCAAAATACAAAAAATATGCATAATTCAATTGCCTACAACATCTCCTTACACATTTAAACCTTATAACACAAACAAATCAAAATAAACATACTTATATAAAATTTTGTATCTAACATATTTTACTTCAGTACTTCTAATATTATTTTTAATATTCAGAACCAAATATCTCTTAAACAAATTACGCTAACTAAAATTTGCTACATATAAAAATCTTAGAAAATTGTATTGCCAACAAGTTCTTCTTACACATTCATACCTAAAAACAAAATTTACAAGTTCAAAACGATTTTTGACCAAAACATCATCTTTTTACAATTTTACACAAACTTCAGCACGTTTTGACTTAACAAAACATCAATATCTTCAAAAACTACTAAAAACAATCAATAATTACTTACTACATAAGTTATTCTTAATTCAACCAACGATTTTAACAATGTCCACTTTATATAATTGTATATATATCACGAAATTAATATATAAATTAAATTACATACAATTATAATAAAAATATTGTTTTTTATAAAAAATAAATTTTGAAAAATATGTATGTATACTTCTTC